TTTATTAATTAAATATTATATCCTTTTTATGTATTTAAAATACTTAATTTTGAATCTTATATTTCTTTAGTTTTTACTTTAAAAGTATAAAAAACAAAAATAAAATAAAATAAAATAAATTAAAAAAACTAAAGTTTGATACAAAAATAAAATTCTGTAACATCTTTAGCTGAATTGGAAAAGCGTTTGCCTTCGAAGCATTTATATATTGGTTCAAATCCAATAGGATGTATCAATTAATATTATAATTAAAAAACAAAAATAATTTTTAAAATAAATTAAAAATTTTAATTAAAATATATTAATTTAAATAATATTTATAAAATTTTCTAAATAAAAGTAATGATGTTTATTAGTATCATGATTCTTATAGTGGCAATAGCCCTACCTTCAATAAATAGAAATATTTCTCCAAATTTATATTTAAGAATATCTTCTCTATTATTAATTTATACTGGAGCATTAGCTTTTAATGCTTTTTATATTCAGTCAATTGGATCAGGTATAGGTATCTATAGTGGATTATTTCAAATTACTTTATTCACACAATTGTTTGATATAGTTATAGTATTAACAGGTTCTGTAATATTAATAGCTTGACCTTTAATAAATCATAAATTTATAGATAATAATCTAGAATTAAATGAAGCAGGACATAATATATTATCAATAAATAATTATAGAATAAAATATTCTATAATAGTTTTAATATCAACTTTAGGTTCTTTATTATTAGTATCTTCTTCAAATTTAATAACTTTATATTTAAGTTTAGAATTACAATCTTTTGGAGTTTATATATTAGCTTCTTTATATAGACATTCAGAATTAGCAATATCTGCGGGATTAAAATATTTTTTATTAGGAAGTTTAGCTTCTTGTATAATATTATTAGGTTGTGGATTAATATATACTTTCACAGGATTAACTAATTTAGAATCTATATATAGTATGATATCAGTAATTGATAATAATAATATATTATTAGGTTTTAGTTTAGGTTTAATATTAATTTTTATAGGATTATTATTTAAAATAGCAGCAGCACCTTTACATAATTGAGCACCAGATGTTTATGCTGATAGTGCTACTATTATAACTACATGATTAACTATTATACCTAAAATTTCTATTTTATTAATATTATTTGAAATACAAACTCATATTAATTTAATAGAAAATATTAATATAATATTAGAATTAAATCCTTTAAATAATATAATAAATAATAATTATTTATGAAGTAAAAATTTATTATTAATAAGTTCATTATTATCATTATTAATAGGAACAATATTAGGTTTAGCTCAATCTAAATTAAAAAGATTATTAGCATATAGTACAATCTCACATGTAGGATTTCTTTTGTTAGCTTTAGCTATTAATTCAGAACAATCAATAGAAGCTTTAATATTTTATATCATACAATATACTATTACTAATTTAAATACTTTTTTAATAATAATATTATTTGGTTATATAATAAAAATTCATTTAGAGATTTAATACAAAGTATAATGGTTGAAGATGAAACAGGAACAGAAAATGATATATTATATATCAGAATTAAAAGGTCAATTTTTCTTAAATCCTGTATTATCAATAAGTTTAACAATTTGTTTATTTAGTATGGCTGGAATACCTCCTTTAATAGGATTTTTCTCTAAACAGTTTGTATTATATTCAGCAATTCAAAATGGATATTACATTCTATTATAGCTATTATTGTAAGTATTATAAGTGCTTCTTATTATTTAAAAATAATTAAAATAATATTTACAGAAGAAGTAAATACATCTCAATATAGTGATAAAGAAATAAAAATAATAAATAATTTAAATTCTAATTCAGAAATAGAAATAAGTAGTACAAATAGTTTT